AAATAAAATCGGTGTACGCTAGAGTTTATAGTGAAGTACCCCTCGGGCTCGGATGGTGTTGTAGTGGACGACGTGCGGGCTACCTTGAGGTCGAAGACGCCGTACCCCTTGCGCAGCTGCACCTGGGCCACCTCCAGGGAGGAGATGAAGGCGGCGAGCCTGGCCAGCGACTGCTTGCCGCTGCCGCCGACGCCCACCAGCAGCGCGCTGCCCCGCGGCGACTCCAGGATGCGGTTGATCCGGCACACGTGCATCATGGCGTCCTCGAACAGCACCAGGTTCATGGCCGCCACCAGGTCGTTGTACGAGGCGAGCGCCTCCTGCAGCAGCGTGCTCAGCGTCGCCCAGTCCGGGATGGGCATGTACTTGGGCTCGCCGATGCCTTGCGCGAAGTGGCAGAAGATGTTGGGCTTCTCCAGGATGATGCCCTCGTCCAGCTCCTGCGACAGGCCGGGCGTTTGTTAGCGGGAGGGACTCGTTGCAACGGACAAGGAGAGCAAAGAGAGAAGAGAGAAAAAAATGTGTGAAAGAGAAATGGTATGTTAGGTGCCTGGAAGGACCACGTAAAGCAGAACAGGGGACACACACATAGAGGAAACACGCAAATTGGACAAACACACAAGCAGCGAGGAAAGTTTTTGTAAGTGTGACAGAGAAGGAAGAGAAACGTGTGAGAGAAAATCGACGGCAGCTGGAGAAGTATTTCGCCGCTAAAGCTAAGAGTAGTCTAAAAAGCGGTAAGGACAGACATGGAAGAGGGCTACTAAAAAGTTACGGCTTTCGGCTGTCCGGCATTGTCTCCGTTATCACTTCCGGCCTGAAATAAGAGGGCAGTCGCATTAATGGGGCGAGAGGAAAAAGGGGGGGGGTGTAAGGTGTAATAGAGACTCTATTTGGGGGGAGGGGGGAGCTCGACGTCGGCGCGGAGGCAGCGTGGGGCGGGGTGGGAGAATGTCGAATACAAAGTACATGTAACATTATCATTAACACAAACACCAAACGCATGCATACTGAAGACCAGCAGTTCAGAGGAACACAACTGGCTCCGCCCACTCACGTCAAAGTTTTTCTTGACGACGTCGACCTGGATCTTGTAGAAGGCGTCGATGTCCTTCTCCTCGGTGAGCTTGTCGCCGTAGACGCGCTGCGCCTCGTGCATCCAGAGGCGCACCAGGTCGGTGGGCTGCGTCAGGCAGTCGTTGGAGCTGAAGAGCAGGCCCTGGAAGACGTTGGACAGGTCGCGCAGGTTGAAGATGTAGTGGAACTTGACGGCCGTGGGCAGGAAGACCTGCGAGCACTTGTGGTGCACGGCGAGCGAGGCCGTCACCACGGCGTTCACCAGCCGGCCGATGGACGCGTGGAAGCGGTACTCGGGGTTGGAGAAGTGCTGCGCCAGGATCTGGGAGTAGATGGAGTTGAGCGACTCGTTGTGCGGAAAGCTGGAACGGTAACGGGGAGTTGTTTGTTTACGACGGCGAGAGCGAGCACGAAATAATAGGAAGCGCTGAAAGGTCGTACCTGATTGCAAACACGCAGAAGTGCCTCTGCAGCCGGGGGTTGATGGTGAAGCTGCCGGCCGTGGGGTTCATGCACGACACGTACTGACAGTTGTGGATGTCCTTGAGCGAGAGCTTGGTGCGGTCGTACCTGACAAAAAGGGATATGAAGTGTGCTGACGCAAAAAAAAAAAAAAAACATTATTTCGCTAAAAATAAAACTTCACTATTTTCAAATTTTTTTTATGTTATTGTAGCAAATGCAAAATAGTTTTGCTATTATAGTCACACCGAAAAAGTGCTACAGCTGCAAAAATGTTGCTGTCGCAGCGAACAAAAAAATGTTATCAAACTTTTTTCGCTGTTTTCGCAATTGCTCTTTTTTGCGTGCTGAGCTAGGCTTTGTGGGTCATTTAGGCCGTCGGCTCCATACCCGGGAGCACTGCACTCACCAGTGGCTGTAGTCGATGTGCTGCCGGATGAGCGTGTGCGGCTGCACCGTGCCGTAGGCGTCCACCTCGGGCATGTTCATGTCGTCCAGGAAGTACACGAGCGTCTTGTTGCCCGGCGGCCCGAAGTTCCGGCCGGCCTTCTTCTCGAGCGGCTTCTCCAGTATCTTCTGGAGCATCTCTGGAGGCAAAGAGGAAAATGCAAGGTCCGTGCGGAGGTATGTAGCTAAACAATAGCTAAATAGGGGATGACTAATTATTTAGCTATGTAACTTAAAATTTAGGTGTGATGCTAAAAATGCAGCACGACCGAGAATACGACATAATTTCAGTTACATATGTTTAGCTACGAAGCTAAAATTTTAGATACATAGCGAAGTAGTTAGTTGTCCCTCATTTATCTATTGGTTTAGCTATACTTGTAATCATTTTTCGCGCGTCGTACCAGAAGTCGTGTAGAAGTTGAAGGGCACGTTCGCGACGGCGTAGTTCTCGGACAGCGCGGCCAGCTTCTCGGCCACGAGGACCGTCTTGCCGGAGCCGGCCGGCCCCACGAGCATGACCGGCACGCGCTGCTCCATCAGCAGGTCCACGAAGAAGCGCACGCGCGTGGACTCGGGCGTGTGCACGAGCGCGGCCTGCAGCGGCATGTCCGGGTCCAGCTCGAACTTGGGCACGCGCTCGGCCCACAGCGCCCACTGCTTGGTCTCCGGGTCGATGAAGTAGTCGAACACGGTGCCCTGGCCGGGGAACTTGACCGTCTTGAACTCGTTGACCCACCACTTGGAGAACTCGACGCGGTAGTCGATGGCCTGGTCCTGGAACATGGCCGCGCCGAACGCCCACACGCACGCGAACACGAAGAACATCTCGTGCAGCTCCTTGCTGCAGTCGGCGGGCGTGTTGGCCGGCACGAGCAGGCAGCGCAGCAGGTGGCACAGCATCTGCACGTGGCACATGTCCACGATGGGCGTGATGCGGCGGAAGCGCGTGCGCAGCGACTCGAGGCACGGCGGGATGTACTTGTCGAACAGGATCAGCAGGTTGGCCTTCTCCGAGTTGGAGGTGCGGGTCTCGATCCAGCTTGTCACGTACCTGCCCGAAGAATGCCATTAAAAGATAGTAATGTTCCCCTGTAACTTTTCTTTTTAAATTAATTATTTTCCATTTTTCCCATGTGATTTAAGTGAGAATTTTAAGCAAATTCAGAAATACCGAAAAAAATACAAACTCTTTTACGAGTTGTTTTAACAGAGACGCTATACTTACGGGTTCCAGCCGAGGTCCTGGGCGTTGATGTACAGGATCCCCGCCCGCGACACGGTGGCGGGCGTCGCGGTGCGCAGGTTGGAGATCTCGAAGAGCAGCCTCATGTTGGCGGACAGGGCGATCCGCTCGTTGGAGGCCAGCGTCAGCACCTTGTTGTCGTCCATGACCGTGTTGAGGGACTCGATCCACATGGGGTCGATGTCACCGTCCAGGATGATCCACTTGGGGTGGTCGCCCGACAGGTTTGCCTGCAGCAACCAGGTCGCCGTCGTGGTCAACGCCGTGGTCCCCGTCACCAGTAGCCCAAGGTCCGCCAAGGTCACAGCACCACCCACTGACCTGCTCCCGCATGATGACGGAGAAGAGCCCGTCCTTCCACTCGCGGGTCGCCGGGTTGATGATGCCGAAGAGCTCGTCGTTGGTGACGGCCTTGGGGTTGAGGTCGTTGAAGATGGGCTTGCGCTTCATGTTGAGGTACGTGCGGTACAGCGTCTTCCACACCTCGGTCTTACCCGAGCCCGCGTTCCCGACCACGAACACCGAGTGCCGCACCTCGAGCAGCTCCTCCAGCTGTACGACCTGCAGGCGACCACAGCGGCGAGAGTTCCAGTTAAAAAAATATTCCAAATACAAATAAATTT